CTGTAGGACTGAATTAAGTACACAGGTTGGTCAGAAGTGGATAACCTGTACTACTTTATACCATTTGTTTAGACTTACGTTTGCTTAATGGTTAAAGCATACATTTCGGATCTACTCATCAGAGATTTTACACTTTGAAACCTTGTCGTATAATTGGTCTATAGACCAGCTTCATGACAAGGTTATGGCAAATAACAGCTGATCAATCTCACCTGGTTTCTCTTATCTCTTATGCTGATCTTTAAACGTGGAAACTACCTTTAAAGTAACCTATCATTTAGATTTTGTACATGACATAATTCAGAGTAAATACTTTATCCACATGTGAGCGGTTATACAGAGACTTCAGTATCGAAGTGGTGTCGCGTAAAAGTGAATTACACTAGGCAAAAACAAAATAGGCCCTATGTGATCACTGTGTTAGAATGAATTCGTTTGTTTGGTAACATGAGGTGAGGGGTGCTTTTCTCCATTTCGTTGTTCTGTGGCTATGAGTCTTTTACATTTCAGCGTTGTCAATTCCATTTCATATATCCTCCTTTGAGTATCCCCTTTCTCATTATCAAAATCGTTCTCATCACTTTTCGTTCTATCACTTCTTATACTCATAATTACAATGAATATATGACGCGAAATTAAATATTGCTCGTAGCTCAGCTGGTAGGGCATCCAGCCGGAAACCCGGTGGTCCCTGGTTTGAATCCAACCACTGTCTAAATTTTCATCTCACCTTCAATCATCACGCAGTATAAATATTACTCATCAAAATCAGCATAAATTTCACCAGTTGTGCTCCCATTTGCGTGTGCAAGTTGAATACTGTCTGCTTTTTTCCATAATACTGGCTTGGCTATTAGGCATCTTTGTAGGTTTTAAATACCTTCGAAGTAAATGAGTGGAGGAACACATTTTAGGAAAGGGAGAAACGCATTTGTCTCCGGGGATTGCCGAACTGCCTTCCATTCATTTTCCTTGGATATATGAAGTCATGAAGTAGTAGGTAAAATCCACTAACTTTTGTCACCATAAGCAGAACTTAGAATTTTCTCAGTAATTTGTTATCACTAAGATTAGAGCATCGGGAATTAAGCCACCTATCTTTAAACGTGTCTTGGTGACCCAGTAGACTCACCTCCATCATATTCGCTTGTTTTTATCCCTTTAAAAAGACTTTTATGAAAGCACTCTATGATCACATAATCCAAAAACAAGAAATCTGTTCAAATTATTTCGTAATTTATAACTCTAGTAACTACCTTAACACGTTAAACTATGTGTTCACTACTACGCATCCTCATCACATAACGTAATTGGCTGAATCAACACCTGATTATGATTCAAGCTATAATACTGATCTTTTTTGCAAAGTTCAGAACATTAGGGAGTTTTAAATCACCTTCAATTGCGCTTCCCACCGACTCTTATCGGTCGTTCCCTTATAAAATAACCTGGACTTCTTTTGTTACTTTACTCCTGGAATACGTTAACCGATATTCTTGATTCGAATAACAAACCTGGGAATTTTCTTTATACTCTTGTATGACAAGTGTTTATTTCTCTTTCATAGCATGTAGTGAAACTTTCTGACGTCAAAATCTCTATCGACGTAAGGTCTGCGTAATAATGGCAAAGATCACTTATCGCATCATCGGATTAATATTTTATAATCTAAGAAGACTTGTTTTGTTGAACACTAGCCTTTTCAAATTCCACTACCATTTAGATTTTTATTCTTTGGTAGTTTGTGTTTACGCATTTATGCTACCTCAATTTAGATAAGTTGAAGCGTTTCGTAGCTATGAAGTCTAACGTTTTTCTTCCTAACTCGACACACCTGACTAGGCTTTTTGATCTCCCTCTCATCATCTATACCTGTATGATCTATAAGGCACTAGTTATATCACCTATAAGCATATTTGTCAGTGCGAAATCCTCACTTGGTTATTTAAGAGTGGTGGATAATTTACACAACTATCGCATGAACTAACCACCATTCTCAAATATCCAGCCTAATATTTGGCACTAACACTCCAACTACTTTCAAACATTTTAGTAGTGATCAACACTTCAAATATATATATATATATATATATATATATATATATATATATATATATATATATATATATATATATATATATATATATATATATATATATATATATATATATATATATATATATATATATATATATATATATATAAGCACAGAACATGAGAACCGTGGTAGAATGGAATTCGTTATTAGATTGGCTTATCTAACATAGCATACCATGATATAGTACGATTTACTCCAGCGCAAATGACGCTAATTCAAATCGACAAATCTGATATGCAGCTACCGTCCTGAATTCTTTTTTTCCTATTCTCCTGCTGTTTCACCTTTATAGTTAACGATTACTCAGCTTGAGTAGCATTTATTATCTGCTTCATTCCGTACAGGTACTGAATCTTACCGATTGACTTGCCTTTTCCGCCTCGAAACTTCACACCTTGCTGTACTCTACGATTCCGCCACACAATCATACTTGACAGTATCTTCTAGAGTATATGATTAAATGTCCTACCGTTCTATTCTCAGCCTATTAGTTGTTGTTCAAAATTCAGGCCGCATATTGGTCAACCAATGTCAACTACCTCATCTCCTTTATTATTACTATTCTAATTGTGATTATTATCATTATCAAACATCTCGAGAGTAGCTATTTGACAAGAAAAGTTACAATATTTGTCTATAGATTTGGAATATCTGAGATCTTTGAACTTCTAGAAATTTCCATTCAGAATATGGATATACTCATTTAAATGGTATTATTCAGCAACTCGATAGCTTGAACAGAAGTAACTAGTAGAAAATTGACATTATTTACGAAATGAATGCAGATCAAAGAACATGAAACAATTTTTTGTCAGTAGTGTGTACTGCCAGTTGTATACATGATGAACTCCGAGAAATTCACATCTCTTATGCAGCCTACCCAATTGGTTGGGAGGCATTAGTTTACACTGAGTAGTCTTTCACACTTCATCACATATTTCGACCACTACCAACCATCATCTATGTGCATATGTCTTCACTATCAACTAGAGAGGTGAAGGTTTGGTTCCCATTCTGTGTAAGGTGATAGGTGGAGGCTACTGACACTATTTTACTTTTAGACATAAACAAAGAATGCTGCTTAATCATGTATTGGTTTACACTAATTTTATGCACTCGTCCTTAAGTTTAATACTGATAGGAAGATAGGAAGTGAATAATAAAACGTATTTTTAAGTTCTCATCTCAGTATAGGACAGCTTCTCATATTAGATCATAAAAATGGAAACACTGACCTAAACTGTCCTCATCTTCATGTCACAGGGAAAAAGTTTTAGGTTGATCATCATGTTCAAAAGGTTTCGGTAATATACAGTGCATTACATAATCTATATTCTGTACGTTTTCCATTGTATGGCAACAGCTGAGGGGGTTCCCTTATCATCAACTAACAACTTCAGTTTGTCACTGTTGATACTTCAAGGAAAAGCATAAGTTGTTCACACACCCACCCTACCTGGAATCTAGTGTTGGTAGATTTCTCAGTAAAATTAATTTATGCAGTTTAGTAAAAATCACTTATCTACAAGTACTGTTAGTGATCAGTGATTCCCATCCTTCATTGGGTTTGGTCAGTAAATAAAAATTGTATTTCTCCTGATATACTATATCCAGATAAAACTAGAAAAATACAATTTGGTAAATCATATCACTTAGGTGCCGAAGTTTTTCTTAAAAAACAGTTCGCTTTAATGTTATTCTCGATATATTTGGGGATTGCTGTTTTTCTCTGATTTTCTTTTCTGTAAGGCACGAAATTGTGTGATATGATACTCCGTCATTGTGTGTGGTTTATTTTCCATCAGAAGTGAAATTCTTTTGTCTATGTGGAATCAGTGTGTTTATATTCACAGGTGGTGAAAACAAGCCCTATTATCTAAGTATAGCATGCTTACAGCGATTCGAGTCAAAGACGTACATGATATTCATCATCTTCCCTTTACTTGTCGCCTCCATTCGTTTGTGATGTAAAGGCCAAGAGAAAATTCATGCGTAGTTGAGCCACACTCACTCACTTCTGGAAATCTAACGGAAATATCTTTTTTAAGCAGTCTGTGAGGAAACTTTCACCCAGAAAATTGGGGAAAACAATAGCTGTTCAGTCTTTCTTGTCACCAGAATTTTGCACTACTTGGCAAAATCAGTTCCGTAACCTCTTCGATGTCACCGCAGAAACTTCAGGTCTTGTGATTATTGTAGTCACTAAACCGCTGGAGGTGAATTTTTATTTTACGTTATTTTTGACTGTAATAAATTTTACTTTGCATCAAATGATCTGAATATCTCAGCTTAGATCTAGAAAGGAGTCTAGACTATACAGATCGATCACCGTATGATAACAGATCTTACATGCCGAATACCGACCAGTCTCCCAATCAAATTTTACAATGTGACGACTGAGTTAATTGACTTGACACTACAGTGCATTGTATTTTAGCATTTCGGTTATTGTCAAGTAACCAACTCACGTACATAACTCAGTCCTGTGGGCGATCAGTCGTAATCTCAACAGCTTAGTGATGAAGTTTCCAAACTTTGATAATGAGAACCTATAGTCCCTGAGAAAAAGTCATTTCCGTCATAGTCGTAGATACACCTTGATGATATGCGCCAACAAATGTGAAACCTGTGTACATGGTCTCATTACGATCGACTGCTAACATATAATATAACAATACAGAGCATAAAATATTCATCACTATTATACGTTAGACTAGAATGAAGTGATCGTCCACTGTTCTATGAGATCTGAGTGACAGGTGAAAAGTTATTAGTCTTTTAAAGTTCATATACACTATACAGTGATTTCCGAACAACAGCATCATTACCCAAGTTAGTTGGTGATGAGCTAATCATAACTTTCCCATTATCCAATTCTTCTTCGCCTTTTCTGTTTCAACAGGACCTGTCTTTTAAAGATAAACATTGGCATGAAAGGTGCTTCTTATGTAGTGTATGCCAGGCATCATTGGCTGACAAACCATTTGCCACAAAGGACAATGATCTCTACTGTCCAGAGTGTTATGATGAAAAGTTTTCACCACGCTGTGATGGCTGTAAAAAGATATTTAAAGCTGGTTCACGTAAATATGAGTATAAAGGATCAACATGGCATGAAGAATGCTTCACTTGTATTGAATGTAAACAACCAATTGGAGCAAAAAGTTTTGTGCCCAAAGATGATGGTGTTGTGTGTGTACCATGCTACGAAGAGAAATACTCCCAGAAATGCTGTAAATGTAATAAGGTAAGTGAAAGTGATCTACCTATGAATTTATAAATAAAATCTCAACGAGTTCACTTCACTACTTCAAACAAAATCATTTCGGTATTTTTGTGTGTGTGATATAAGTAGTTTGTAATCACATGTGAATACGTATTTCGGCAAAAGCTGTTATTATCTATGCATACAGTTCAGATTTTTCTGATTCCCTTAAATACAGCTTATTACAATGTGGGGTATTTATTGCTTGTTACAACAAGATTATGTTTTACGCGTTTATTAAAACTAAGTATTGACAACTGGACTTTCCCGATGTAGTCAGCTAATTATATGTAGAGTTGGTTCAAAAGGTAATCAGAAATTCGGTGATTAGTCACAGCAGCTATTTACAGGCACTGACTATAAACAGGTTATCAAGAATGTGGACGATAATAATCCTTGTGAACACCAGGTGGCAGTCAGTGATAAGCACAGAAGCTATCCAGTTTTTGTGCTTGGTGGTACTCGTCAACAAGGTATATCTATGACTACGTAGAAACTGGTGTTACCATGGGGGTTCGAAGTCACTTCCTAACTCTAAATTTCAGTGCATCACAATGTCGTGTCAATTAGCTTACCGGTCCCATTGCAAACTTGGTCGATAGGCTACGTTAAATGCTGAATGCTAAGAAATAACCAGCTACACAGCTTGACCACTGGTGGCCGCTTCATGTTTAGAACTTTTTCAAAGTCTGTTTGTTATATTGTGGAAGGGATTAACGAAATCATCAGAAACCGTAAACCCCTGAAGCCTTTTTCAACCGATCCTTTTGTCCCGCCGTCTTAGGAAAAAACGAATGAAGCAACGTGTAAATATCAGATTGGTTGAAGGGACAAAAAGCAATAGAATATTCAAATCTAGAAAGGTTCCAAATAGCCAAGGCTATTGTAATATATATTAACCCTTGTATTTGATGTATATTTTCGACACCGCAATACACCTTCTGTTATCTTACCGCTTTGTGCATTTATCGAGAGAATTGAGTGACCATCAAGGGGTGAAATAGGAAGCTCATTGTTACAGCGTATATATATATATATGACTTTATATTTAGAGTTTATATCAAAGATTCCTCAACTAGCACTGACAGCATTTTACGGTATTGGTAACCAAGACCTTCCTGTTTTATGTCGCCAACTTAGGTCCGTTAACGAAGATATATGATATAATTGCTAAGCATAGAAACTAGATGCTATGCTGCACCTTATCCAGCACTGAATGTGTTTAGGAAGTCGATGGATCGGATTCATGATAACCGTAAATGAAAATTATCGCCAACCTAAAAACTACTTTATTCCGTTTACGACATTTTAGTCAAGCAATTCATTCACTGAATAATTTGCAAAAGACTAAATCTTATGTAAAAACTTAATACCAAGTGTTTGCGAAGTTTATGGTCTAATTATCATTTTTAGTGGAGATCTGTCGCCCAAAGAACGTAAACCATTTGTTCAACGTCCCAATAAAATTTTTTCATGGTTCTTAACCTTGTAACATGATAAATATCAAGTCATATTGTTTTGCTCACTTTGTCTGCTCTGTATTCCAAGTTTTAATTTAGTAGCTGTGATGTCATATCATTTTTGAGTTGGTGCTTACTATTTAATGAAGACTTCCATTGTGGCGGTATATCCAAATACTAACCATATGTTTTTAAAACTCCTCTATTCTGTTTCGCCTTTGAAGTCTTTAGTGTCCTGTCAATCCATCTAATCTGTTCTGCAGAGAATCAATTACGACCTGATTAACTGACTGGTAGCGTCTCCGACTGCAATACTAGACGATGCAGATTCAGAACCCTAAGAAAGATATTAGTTTCCTCGTTGTTGGAGAACGCACCTTGTTGACGAATGCCAACAAGAGCAAAACATAAGCTCAGCAGCTTTTTTAGACAATTGCCTCCAACTATCCAACTTCACTCTAAGTGCACTAAGTGACGAGTTGCATAGCTAGATGACAACACTACAAAACTGGTCAATATGCTTCGACCGACACTGAGAAATAGAAATGTTACATCAGGGAGACTCCAGCAATCAAACAATGAATCATGGTACCCCAAGTTTCTTCTTTTAATCGTCTATTCAATTTAAAATACAAGGTGTTAATGGCCTCCAAAATAAAAACTTTTTGTAGGCATCTAAATTCAAGTAGTGTATTGTTTCGAATTCCAATTTTACTTTACCCACTATAAAATAGGAAAATGTAATTCACTTAATTTCCTGGGTTAGCCTCTTTATTTTTCGTGCTCACTTAACAAGGGTTAGGTGTGATCACTACAGATCCTAGCATAGAGTCAGAATGCTATGAACGTCAAGGTGCAAACAAGATGAAACTGAAGTTAAGTAATTTTGAAAAAAGATTCAGTGAACCGGTTCAAATCGGAATTGATTTAAAGGGCGTAGCCCTGCCAAGTATCCAACGAATAGTTAATCACCTCAGTCAGTTCCTATAAAATGTTACTTGCTAAAAATATGTCCCCTACGTACCATAGAATTGATGCCTTTCATTCAAATCAAAAGTATATCCTGCTGCCAAATTTGAGCAATCATGGAATATAGAGGTTAAGACATCCCGTGAACTATCTTCAGTCATGTAACAGACGCCTTCTGTAAAATATGTCATGTACTATGAAGACAAAAAAGGTTGGAAACTATTGATCTTTAGATTTTTTTCTGATCACTTGACTTAAGCGTACTCATAAACAACATTCCAATTAACTTATCACCAACCGATTCAGAAGGTGTATTATCTAAAAACCAATATTTGAAAACTTTCATTCACCTATTAAAATCCTCGGTAACCTTGCTTTCAGTAGGGATAACTTCTTTTACAAAAGAACTTTAGAAACAATTCCATTAATCACAAAAACCCGTTGTTAGGGTCAAGATAACCTGTAATAGTTCTTTACTGAACCCAAAACAAAGGTCAAACAGCAATTATTCAGTCAGAATTAGCTAAGTCAGTCGATAAAATATTAGGAATGTTAGAAGTAGCGAAAGAGTTTAACAGTATTCTAAGTCATATGAATCAAAATTCTGTTTGTTAACACCCCTAGTTTCACTCATTTCTTCTAAAGTGAGCGAGTTTTTACGGTACCTCATCAAAGTTGACAAAAAGGTTTTCATCACATGAAACTGTCCCTTTCGGCACTGATTAACGCAACCAAGTAGTTTGGCCTATGCTGCAGAAATTTTTCCCATCCTTCTCTTATTTAGTATAGAGGAAGCATATGTGATGTTTATGATGGATACTGACTAGCAGTGAAATCCAGGATGCACGTTTTGAAACTCATGAGCTAGGTGTACGTACCTCCAATGGGTGATGTTATTCCCATTAAGATTTGAATGCGGGACCGATCGCTTCAAGCACCAAAGTGTTATCCACTAGGCTATCGAGTCACGAAAACCACTTATTGTGCCATGGGTGTAGTTTATATGTTGTTACTTGTATTATCCCTTCGTTGAGTGGACCAAACTGATCGGTCACTATTGGCATATAGGCTCCTGTGTGGATGCCTCGATATGACCTTTGTTTCAGTTTTATGTTAATGATAGATTGTGGCTAGCAATGGAATCCACCATGCACGTTTCGTCCTATTTGGGACTCGTCAGCCGGAATTACGTGCCTTCCAGTGAGCGGTGTTGTTCTGACTCAAAACCGGGACCGATATGTTAATCGAGACCGACCAATTCGGCCCAATCAACGACGGAATAATACAAGTACCAACATAGTATATGTGATGGTTTTTCTCTCAACGATCAGTCCTGTGTTTTTATTGGTTCTAATAACATGGACATTGGTTACTTTACTTTCTTGACAAAAAGGCATAAAATGTTTCTCTTCGGTTGTCAATAAGACTTTTCGTATGGTTAAGTAAATAGCTATACATGCTGATGTCGGTGAAAATCTAAATATGGAACATTTTTGGAGTCTATTGCATCATTGATTTCGACAAAGGCAAACAGTAAGTAGTTTTTAAGTTTTTATGCAAAATATAACCTAAGTAAATTTGCAAGCTATTCACAAAAATTCCAAACTACGCTCAATAATTTTATTTAATCAGGTAGATAAACAGCACTGTCTATAAAGAAGGACTGAGTATGTAGCAAAATGAGAAATACTTCATTCATGTATGGCAGGTGACTAGACTGTTTCAAGACTTTGGTATGATTTAGTCCTAATTCCAGTTCAAACACATTCTTATGTATTTGAGTAACTTAACAATCTACAGATTATCCAAACACGTACATACCCGCCTGAAAATTGTACTATTACGAATCATCAGGATAAAATTTGACCTGTAGATATTCTTTCATAGTAGTGTTCAACATGAAGTGATATCATTTGAAGGACTACCGAAAACCTGAGAGCACTGGACAGTTGTTTCTTTCTAGAATGGGGGTTTCTCAGCACTGCGCAGCCACGACTCCACTAGGGATCAAATCCAGCCCCGTCCGACCTCACGACGAGCACACTACATTCACTTACTGGGTAAGAGTTCAGTAGTCTGAATTTTCCTGCTTCTGTCAATTTACAAAATAGCGTGCCCAACATCTAATGCCATCGGCGAGTATTTGTCTTCAAATCTGACTTGATTGACCCCATATGTCACAGCTTCTCATTAGAACTTCGGGATATTTACCTCGAACCATGTCGCTGGTGATCATTTACAAATTTCATCCAACCAAGTAACTTGCTCACTACATCCCATGTTTGTTCACGAATAGACATAGTCCGGCTGTTACTAGATGGCTTTCCTGTCAATCACTGAAACGAGTGATGGGCTATATTGTTGTCACACGCTGTTAACAATTCACTTATCCTGTCTGTATACAAGAAACCAAAAGAAAATGCTGTTATCGGCACACGGAATATTCGCTATCAAGTTATCCGACAATGCTGCTTCAAACTATGGTATTGAATGATTCAGTTTGAAGTGTCTGAGAAACAAAGATTATACGGTCAACAGTTAGAATTAAATTATACCATATATGTTCCTGTCCAGTGATCAATCGATTTTATGTCATCCATTTATACAGAAAGTCATAGCCATTCACATAACTCAATAGTAACTACTGTAACTACAGTGTTCCATGACCTATGTATGATAATCCTAAAGTAAGCGAGAAATTTACGCCTAAATGCTTCGAATCGACCATTTCTAAATATGCTACGCTAAATGCAGTCCACTTCTGCTTTACCGTCGTCTGGCTAATTCAGTAGTATGATGTTTCTTGATCAAAACATTTCGCCCAACACGCAGAACTGAAGCAAAGTTTAGATTTCTGTCGACCCAGCGACTCACAAACATATATGTCAACTGAGCTCTATCAAAGCTCCACTCTGTAACAAAATGTATACCTGTGAGTATGAAAGAGGCTCTTCACCAATAAATTTATCAAGTTTTCAGATTGGAATTCATCATGGACCGATATCAATCGGAGGAACATTGAAAACTTGTTAGCACTGAACAGCTGATTAATCCTATTATGGGGCTACACAAATCCCCAGATTGAATTAATCTAGCGCTCATTGGTAATTAGCTTTGAGGGCTGATTCCTAAAGTTACGAGTAGAAGTCGTGACTAGTTGGGCCAACCGAACCAAACACCAGGACAAATACTCAGTGATGACGTTGGGCGATAGTCACCCTATGTCGTGAACCGACAGAATTTGGAAATATGGATCACTGGATTCTGACTCAGTGGCTCAGTGGTAATATGCTGGCATCGGGACATGGAGGTCGTGGGTCCGAGCCCTACTGGTGCGAGGTTATAGGTGCGCACTGCTGAGGTGTCCCAAACTAGGACGAGACAGCTATCCAGTGCTCCCAGGTTTTCGATGTTCCTCCAACTGATGACAGCCTATGATGAGTACCCACCTGAAAAAACTACTCAATCCCCACAAACCCCCAAATCAACTTAAATGTGTTTATCAGTCATTCAGATTCAGATATCTAACACGGCCTAATTTATTTAACGGTGCTATTCGATACTAGTTCAGTCAGTCAGTTAGTGTTTTTAAAATTGCATTTGTTGAACGAACTTAATCCGAAATTCCATCCCAGCTCACAACGTTTCAACAATGCTTAAATCAACTGTCTGATGATATCTTACCCAAAGAGCCTATAATCTTCTGGAAGATAACTGTAGACAGAAGTTTCGACTCTTCAAGGTGCTAAGGGTATACACTATAATACAGTTCTGTATTCATTGGTGTTTATTAATAACAACAATAGTGATTGGAGTTGTCTTGGACATGTGAAGTGTATATTGCTGAAGAGTTTACAAAAAGGAGTCATATCCACTTCTACTTATCAGCTTAGTAATTTGGGAACTATAAATACACAAAACAGGGATAGTTTCCTAATATACTCCACGAAAATTGCTTTTCATCAACTGATTCACAATGAAGATCTGCTCTTTTGGTGGTTAATTCTAATTTGTACTTATTTACTGGTTTATTTTCTCCTTGTAGGCCATCCAAAAAGGAGGAGTTACTTATAAAGGTCAACCATGGCATAAGACCTGTTTCTTGTGCACAAATTGTAGCTGTGAACTAGCCGGTCAGAAGTTTACTTCACGGGATGAAAAGCCATACTGTGCAGACTGCTATACACAGTTGTTCGCAAAACACTGCGCAAAGTGTACAAAACCAATAAGCGGTAAGCTTTCATATATGAATTGGTTTACATATGAAAGGACTGAAGATAAATTATAAGAATTACTAAATCTAGCCCTTAAGTCTGTATACCTTTTTCAATTTAGTATGGTTCTGATTCATATCAAGTATTGCTTGAAGCCTGGTGTGAGTAGTTCTCAGTGCATAAGGTTACACACAGGCTGACTTTCATGAACAGTTTACGGTTCTTAGTGTACATCAAGAATCATCAACTATTCCGCCCTTTGATGTTGTCATAGAAAAAGGTAGGTAAGGTAGCCAAATGAGCTAAGATGTAAGTGATAATGCCTAGTACATTGGACAACATGAACTAATCGTGTACAGTAGTTGGTCTCTTAATAATGTTATTTTTAAGTCATTTGGGAAAATATCCACAAATGATGCATTACATATGATGGATATGCAGTTTTAAGGCAGAAGAATAGCCAACAGGAAAGTAGTTGATAATTTCCTGCTGATTTGTTATATAAATACTGAGCTGTCCAGTGAGACCATCACAGTGTCGTAATTCCGCCCTATGTTGTTAAGCTTATTCAGATAACTCGATATTTTGGTGTTTTAAAGGTTGTGTTCCGTCATGTTTTTACGGCTCGCTATATCATGTTCCGTATAATCAAGTTATCAACTGTTTGTTGTCTTCATGACTTTAATATGGCTGTTGACCTTATCTTTCGATTATTCTTGCATTGATTGACCACTGGAGAGTAACCAGTTCTACGTTGTCTAGGGTGACTTTTAAGATTACCTCAGCAACTTCTCAGATAACCAGTGACGTTCCTCTATTTTAGGAGGAACTTCATATCTAGTCGGAATACTTAAAACCTGAATGGTCATTTCAAAAGTTTCTAGGGTGGCCTTTAAAACCATACTGAAAGTGGGGTTGATAGAGCGATTTTAAAAGCCACCGTAACAACGACTGGAATAACCAATCAAGTTTTTCTCATTTCGACTGGAAGAGAGGATTTTCGTAAAATAGGAAAGTATAATTGGTCATTTCAGTAGTTGTTAGGGTGACCTTTAAAGTCACTCTTATACTGTGGCTAGTTGATGTGCCTTCAGGCTTAATGTAAGTATGGTGGTTATTGATGCGTACACAGACAAAACTATGGATGAGTGAGTAGTCTTTGAACTCTTCGTCTGAAAGCATACATATCCATTTAACTATGTGGCTAGCAGGAAGCAATAAAAAAGATAATCTACTTTCTGGATGACTACATCCTGAAGTGGACATTTTTGTCTTAAAATTTAGTCCATGCTGCTACTGCATACTAGTACACTTCAAATATTCAGCATATTGTCAGAGATAAAGGCTGCTACTTGAACTCAGCATATCAAACATTATCTTTCAATTAAACTTTTCATTTATAGCAGCTGCCTTCATGAAAATTGTGATTATCGTAAACGAACAATTGACATTTATGACTACTGTACAGTTTGTAAACTCCTGAAGCGACCAACAGTACTTACACGAGAAGCGTAGGACAGACGGCTAAGCAATGGTGAGCCTCTTAGGTTGGTGGTCGCATCGCAAAACTATCGATGGGATTCAGTCACCATTCAGGACTAGACAATGAGTGACTTTAGAAGCCACTCTAGCAAGTGATGAAATAACCAATCAGGTTGTGGCATTCCGGCTAGAAAGGTGGTTTTTCATAAATAGAGAAACGTAATTGGTTGTCTCAGCAGTAGCTAGGGTTGCGTTTAAAGTAGCTCCAGTTATAATCATCTGACTAACAAGGAGCGGAGCGCATAATAGGAATACTAGTAATAAACTCATTGCCCTCCTCCCTTCAAAAGAGAAAGTGTTCTTTTCTTCTCCTTCATATACTTTAATTTTGATATACAACGATACACATCCACTAACATACTGATGAGTCGTGTTATAGACGGCTGAAGGGCGACTTTGGTTGCGACATAGTGTTTCTAAACACCTTTGCCAATAATGTTTGCATGTGCAGTAATTTGAATCGCTCATATACTTCGGCAGAATATTTAAAGCAATATATTAATGCGTTCGGAGTAACTCTATAAGCCACCCTAACAACTACTACTAATTACGTTTCTTTATTTTATGAAAAACTACCTTCACAGCAGAAAAACGGAAACCTGATTGGTTTTTTCTGTAGTTGTTAAGGTGACCATTAAAGACAAACAGGGTTTCCAGTTACTCTACAGGCTGCCCTAAAAATTATTGGGATAACCAGTTAGAGTTCTGTATCTTATGGATAAGCTAACTTTTCAGTTGTTACAAGGATAGCCTTTAAAGTCATTCATTTAATCCAATGGTAACAGAAAAATAGCCCATCCTTTCCTGAATCTAGTCTCAAATTATTTGACTAGCGCCTTATTAAAAAACGACTCAAGATGTAAATCATAATAAAATGTCGTTTTCTGCCTTTTTCCTGTTTTTGTAAATTCTACATTTGAAAAAACAATAATAATGACATTTTCAACGAGATTTTAGGTTTCGGTGGGTGCAAATTTGTGACATTCGAGGATAAACACTGGCATTCCGATTGTTTCAACTGTAGTAAATGTCAAAATAGCCTTGTAGGCAAAGGATTCCTTGTCTCAGACGACGGTGTTGTTTGTCCAGAATGTGCAAGATAATGGATTACACACTAAACCAAATGTAACATTGGGAGACAGAAAGAGCGAATCAACACACTTTAACTTACCTAATGCAATAAAAACAATCAAAATAAACACATGAATATTTCCTGCTATTATTCTGACATAAAGATATGTTTATTACGATCCAGTTCTTTCCTTTATTTTGGTTTTCTCCCTTTGGATATAACCCTTCCCCACCCAGTGTTTATCTATCTGCCTAACATGTTATTAATGCTAAGAAAATCTGATTGTTATCTTTTTTTGATTAATGTACTCTATCATTATTAAAGGCTATACACTTCACGAATACAGCGCTTGTACTTAAACTTATTTTAACACTGATACTTATAGTACTTATGGTGATAATGACTAGTAGTATCTACTGATTACTTATTTCTCATTGTCATTCATCCTTGTTTTACTCTGAAATTAGCTTGTTTATTATTAATTCTAGCCGCAAATTTCAAGGTCTGTGCGTTGTTTCATCCCCATCCTGCTTCCGTATACAAACGCACAGGGGGGGAAAGTAACTAAATGATTCTAATTATTTATTTATTCCTGTTACAAATTAGTCATTTGCTCTCATTTTATTATTTGTAAGGATGGCAAACAAGAACATGCTGCTAAAACTATTCTGGCAGTGTTTGTTCAGCTTTCCTTGTTTTCTTGTTTCACCGTCTTCACATGGAAGAGATAAAAAGTCCCAGTAAACAAAGTAATCACTATATCAGTTTATATTGATAAGTACAACTTTGCTTCAGTCCTCTTTCATGAAACTCATACCTCCTACCTGTTCCCATGCATACTAACTACCCAGTGTGTGTGTACCAATGATTCTACTGTCATTGTTGAAGGTTCACTAAAGAGTATATTATTATCTACACTTGCTTAATTTTCAATGCCTTATCATCAACATTTCAATACACTGATATTTCCTAATCACATCAAAAAAGATACATAAAAGTAGTTGTCGCTGTTTTTTTTATTTTCCTTTTGGAAAAAATCTTGATATGTTTTGTCGTACTCACTCTTCATTATTATCCTGATTCCCTTGTTTCAGTTTTGTCTTGGTGCTTTTGCATTATGTTAATGTCTTTTTCGATAGTCTTGTTGTAGTGGCGGTGGCTGCGACGGAAACAATAATGAATCCAAAAGGTCGATTTTATTTCCTCATTCAATATATGCTTTTTTTCGCCTGATTTCAATTGAACTGCTTTTATTACTCCTATTATTCATCTGGCTAACGGGTAAAAGATGTTATTCGCTAATATATACATATTTAATGCCATAAGGTTTTCCCATGAAATAAAATCTTTCTCAGTCATTTGTATTCTTTTGCCAGGATAGATAAGGCAAGTACAAACTGACGATTGGAAACATGAACAGATCTGAGTTTCAGATGTTAAAGGGAATAGTGTTGATATAGTTTCAGAGTTATTTGCTTTTCCGAATCTTACTGCAACTTCGTCTGCACACAATTCAGGCATGAATTAGTCCATCAGTTGATCTCCACAGCCACCGGACAGTAGGCGACAAGACAGATGTTAACCATCCAAAATTTTGCTCTGTGCCTTATGCATACACTTCATTGAATTATATTCTCACAAAGTGCATGGAATTCCTGATTGACTTCAAGCAAAGAAAACGGAATTATGCGCATTAATTGGTTTCATTTAAACAGGCAGTTATTTCGGAGCGTGCGTAAATAGTGATTTAGAGGTTAACAGGAAACGTACTGTACATATCCACCCATCTAACAGCATATCACAAAATGTTTTATAGGATTGAGGAAATTTAAAAGTCTTACTGGGTGATATAAGATGAGGTCACTTTTTCAAAGAAAAATACTTGGTTTCTTTAAACGTTGGGTATATTTCTTCACCATGGCCATATAGCTGTTAAACGAACTTTTATTGACGTCAGCAACTACCGTAGAACACAACAGCTGAAAATGACAGTCTAATTACTTTGCGCTGATTGAAAAAACAAACAATTGACGAGAACGTGATCAGCTGATATATATATAATTCGGCTTCCTATGTCTAAACAATGCTCACTCTCAGATACATACAAAATAAAGCCGAAGATAATCAAATCTCGTCATGTCCATCAATTACTTAACGAAATGCCAGCTATGAAAGGTTTTTCAGATCATGAAGGTTTCAACTGATCTAAAATGTACATCTCAGAATAAAGTGGATAGAAAAACTTTGCAAGTTATGCGGCTGATAGTTGAATAACTGAACTTTCTGACTTGAATCTCAACTTAAATTTTCAAGCCAAGGAAATATTCCAAAGGCTTCAGATGGTAAGGGTATCGATGGATCCTTACTATCAGAAGGATAGACTGACAGACAACTGGTAAACACTAAGAATATTCTCAACATAAGATAGTGTTCATTCAATAAACGGCAACTGAGAGTCCCATAACTGAATGAATGTCATCCATATTCTGGTATGAAAAATTTACCATATAAGGGTTTTAACTTCAGTCACTTAGTGATACAGTGTCAGTTATATCTTAGTGTTTCTCATTTGAAAGGAATCATCTGATACTGATCGTCCTTCCCTCTTCTGTCATATCAGTGAAACTTATAGTGACCTTGTTTAAAAACTTTTTAAAGATCTTTTTATTTATTTGAGACGCAGTCAGTTGAAGAAAGGAAAGTAGTAGTGTTTGAGGGTAGAGTGAGTGCTAGGGAGATTAGTTAAAGGCAAGTTGTGGTAGATGAACAGTAAGAAAATGAGACGAATTGCATATTGAATCATTAATGACGTTTTTGTTTCTTGGCTCCGTGTTTGCATACTCTGTTCACGTTCTTTGGATTTATAATGAGAGGTGAACAGTGACAGGCAATTCAAAATATAATATACATTACAAACATGATGACGATTATATTATGATTACTACTGTTAGACTGATATTCTATGCCGAAGACAGACTAAATCCTAGAGTGGACAGTTTTGAGGTGTCTCGGACAACACTGAAATGTACCTTTTAGGACAGATATGTCACTATATACCGCAAGAGAATGTGGGACAGACAGCCGTAGAAATATGCATACCTATATACTAAAATAGACAAAAATTCAAAAGGGGAGAAAATCATTTCTGGGATTTGCGAAGAAAAATGATACAACTAAGTATCTGTATCTGTATCTTGTTTCTTTTTGTTTTAATTCGTTTTTCCACAATTACTGAGAAGTCAGAAGGAAGACTAGGATTCTCGTCACCATGACAGCAAAACCCTATCTTTGTGCGTTGCTTTTAATTCCTCTATTGAGTTAATGAAGTTACTGACCTGAGGATTGTTGAAAAAAAGCTGCCTGATTAGATAGTATGCTAAGAAGACATTAAATACATTAATGGGATATCCATCTTCAGAATTTGGTTTTAGCGATGAAAGCAGAATAGATGTACAGAGTAGTATAACAGCCACCTCAGTCTGTTATATTATCGAGAATAGAGAAACATTCAGCAGAAAATGTCATTTAACAGTAAATGTAGAGAAATCAATCAATATGATAAGTATGATAAGAATCGAAATTAATTTAATTCATCTGTTTCATTTTATGTCTAACTACTCATATTTTTGTCAGTAGTAACAAATATTATGGGAAATTAATAGAAGCAATAGCAGAAATGCGAAATAGATGTTGTGTGTGAAAAGCAATCTGAGATTTACTTATTTCCCACGTGGTGAATGAAGACCGCTTGTCACTGTTGTCACTGCTACTAATAAATCACTCGGTGGTAAATGTTATTTCACCTCACCCAACAAAGAAACTCAGTTGCAGATTTTCTAATGGAGATGAACTTTTCAAGACACACCTGACAAGCCGTGCTTTGGATGGTGTATACGTGTGTGTGTGTGTGTGTGTGTGTGTATGTGTGCATGTGCGCGTTAGCAGAAGGACTGAAAACGTATAAATGATATGCTTTACCATAGTGCAAAGTGTGATATGGAAAGCTATAAATAACTGGAATAAATGTGGTCACATATTTGTATAACCATTTTCAGTTTTCCGACCATCCTTATAAATCACTTTACACAAGAGTAATTCGTCACCCTATCGATGATGGGATTGTTTAGAAATCAATGACTGCAAAAGAACAAAAGCCTGTTTGCCTAGTATAGTACCAATCTATCTTCATTGTATATTAGTAAGACTCAAAGATTCCTACTGGTTACCTCCAACTGTCTTGATAAAGCACACTAAATGGTTGGTCAGTTTCTGATAGATAATCTTCTCGAACTTTCATTCAAGTTAAAGTAGTAATTATCATTCAGTGACATCTGTTGAAGAACCGTCAAAAAACTTGGAGCACCGGACATCGGTTTTGGCCTACTATGGAACTCCTCGACAGTGCCCACCGTCGACCATATTACTGATTGAAACCAGGGCATTCAGGTCTCAAGGCAAGTACCCTACAACCGAGCCACTGGGTAGGGATTCAATGGTCCATATTTTCCTACTTCTGCCAATCCACAATATAGTCCAACTATCATCTAATGCCGTCGTTAATAGAAGTGCTGATATCAATCACCTTCTAGTAACCAGTGTTTATTTATCATTGCAGTTTTCGTGAAGCTTTTGAGCGCGAATCTCCAGTCATTTTTATTCCAGTTGTACGTTACCTGATTGCTATAATCACTAATTGTTCTCCTTTTCTTAGCGAAAGTAAGTAACATCCTGGAATTTTTCCACTTGGAATGTTTTCTTTTTGAAAATATAAATATTTTGTTGTCATATTTGAAATAGGGACATCCTTAACTCTACTACTCCACCACTAATAACAAAGCAGTACCCAGAAGAAGCTTAAAGACAATAGCATGAGAGCAGCTTGTTGTAGTGAGAGGTACTTTGCTTGAGATTTTTATGTTCCTGAAATGTAAAACATAAATCTTTTGGGTGCCACGACCAGACAACAGATAGCAAGTATATAAAGCAGATCGAAAGCATACCAAGCATAATCAAGGTAGGAAGTTTAAAGTA